AACATCAAGTGTAATCCACTACAAGTTCATAAAAATTTATTTGTACTTAAATGGGTGAATAAAAAGTATTTTATTAATGATTTGAAGAAGATATAAGGGAGAGTGTGAACTCTAATAATAGGAATTGAAAAAGAAATTTAAGATATAACTCAGTCTTACTTCATCAGGTACAAAATCATTATTTTTTTCAATGACTTAACATTCACATCCTGCAAATAAAATGTAAAGATTAATTGATGAGGTTGATTTGAAACCTTATGACAAATTAATAACAAAATGTACAAAGATGAGTAATAAACTAAATAAACCATTTTGATGTACACAGTAAGTAGTATTTTTATATTTAGATATGGTAAAATTTTTAATTGAAAATACTATTTCAGAAATTGAAAAATGAAGAAACTTTAGCAAGTTTTCTAAAAATAAATAAATCAAATAAATAAAAATCCAATATATGCTTAAAAAAAACTAAATGAATACTAAAATCATTAATCTACAAAATTGTTCTTACAGAAAATTGTAATGGTGTAATGAGCTTGAACCATTTTGTTGCAGATGGAAGCATTTTAATGTAGTTGTAACCAATTTTAATAATTATCTGTGGTAAATTTTTTTAACATAAAATTTTTTTGAGAAAAATGGGGAAATTATAATAATTGAAATGTTTCATATAAAAATAAAACAATAAAAACTAAAGAATGTGAAATCCATACATAACCTAAACAAAAAATAAAATAAATAATAAACAAATGAAAAAAAAACCTACAGCTTTACTACAGAATGCATATAATGAATGGTTTAAAACCATTTTAATATGAACAGAATAAATCAATGATTAGAAATATGGTAAATTTTTTATTGAAAATATTGTTAGAGGAAAATTTTAAATAGTGGTATGGTTTCCTTAAAAAAAAATAATAAATAAATAAATATAATAATAGTTGGAATCAAATCTTAAGTTGAACTGTTTGTACCTAATAAAACTCTTAAGGTGCCCAGTTATATACTTTCTGTAACTTAAATTTAATAATTTACTAGCAAAGAATGCCTAGGCACTGTATATAATGCCAAGAACTAGATGACAATGCATGAAACAAATCACATTTCAAACATTTCCTAGGGAATTTTGTGGAATGCCAAGAGAAAATCTGGCAATGTATTAAATTCCTTTCAAATGTAATTCATATGTAAATGTAATGTAATTCAAAATTTCCTTCAAGCCTACCATGTTGAAACACTTTTTTTCGTATTTTTGATTTGAAAATTTTACTTCCCTAAATAAGGAAGGCATAAATTTTGTTTCGTAAAACTTTAAGTTTATATATTTTTATTTCAATTTTTTTAGTGGCCCTCTCATTAATTCTTCAGTATAACATTTTTAAGGAATGCACATCATTTGCACATAACAGCCTTATCAGGACCTTTTTGTATACCTTGCATTAGTCATTCTATAGAATGCCTAGGGAAAGTATATAATAATTCTCAAATTTCATACTTTGTCAAAAAAAAACGTCAAGCATGATATACAAGTATTTTATAGAATAACAGTGTTTCATATTTTCTTTGACAATTCATATGAAGTCTAACCAAAGCTAGCAGTAATGTAAGCAGAGACTGGTAAAACTCAACTGTTTATTAATTTAAATATTAATATTTGAAGAGAGCATCAAATCTGAGCAAAATTGGTGCATTTTGATTTTTATATTAGGAATTATGCTGTAGGAAAATTGCTTTTCTTTTCCTTTATTGATTCAAAGTTCTTTGGGAGCTAAGGCCTTCTTTAGAATTTAATTCCATTCTACTCTTTTCTTCACTAGTTTGGTTCTATATAAGCTAAGTTTGATTCTATATAAAGAATATTTAACTAGAAACATTTAAGGGCTCCTCAGATGCCCCAAGTTTGGAGATATTACTTGGAGAGCGAATTTATTGCTTGTTCATTGGAATTGTATTTAAAAAAAAAAACTGGAAGTTTAATTTATTAGAGTTACATGTATTTTATCATCAGAATGGTAGTCAAGTTTCGCTGAATGCCATGTCAATTGCGAAAGTTTTGAACAAACACGCCGTGCTGCTAGCAAATCTAAATCATTTTCCTGTAAAATTTGAGAAAAAGTTTAATTTATGTCATGAAGAGTTAGAGAAAAGGGGACATATCTCTAAGTGATAATGTGGATTTTTTTTTAGGGACTAACTTAAAAAGTAAGCTACTGGTCAGCCCTCAAATAAATAATTTCAACCAATTGCAAAGAAGTCTAATATTTTTTTTTATGTTTTTACTTTTGTCTGCTCTTTTTCCTTTGATTTCTTGAATTCTAAAGATTTTTTCCAGGACTTTGGCTTATTTGTGTTCCCCAAATTTGAACAAATCTCCACCTGTGAAGAAAAAATATTAATTGCAACTGTAAATTTGTGATAAAAAATAATTTACAATAATTTTAATAAATAATCTTAAATAATAATAAAATAATTTTAAAAACCACATAACTAACATAATACTTTCCACATGACTAACATCAATAAGCATTGAAATTATAACATCAAGATTACTAAATGTAGATATACTAATTCAAGGTGTGAACTTATTACAGAAAATTTTCTTCAATTAAAGAATTTTTAAAACATATGTAGATCAAGGTTAGTTATTTAACCAAAGATATAAGTATTTAATTTATGTTGAGTAAAATACATTCAGGAAAAGAAAATCCCAACACCAAGAAAAATTTATTGTGGAGTAATGAAATTTCGGCAATGCCTTTGTTTCAGTAACATATTTAATTTATTAAAATTTCAAGATCATAGGTTAATGCAATTAAGAGAATAACCATTTCAAATGTGAAATACAGGTACATTAATAACTGGTGTAACCACCAGAATTTTGAATGCAAGCATGCATTGTGTCATGCAGATGCTGTACGTCATTTTGTGGAATGGGGCACCATCCCTGTTGCACTTAGTCAGTTAATACTTAATACAGAAATAGCTAATGTTAATCGTGGATGACGTGTCCCATATGTGTCCGATTGGTGCAAGATCTGGTGATCTAGAATGCCAAGGCAACATGTTGACATTCTGTAAGAGCATGTTGGGTTACAACAGCAGTATGAGGATGAGCATTATCCTGTTGGAAAATACTACCTTGAATGCCGCTCATAAATGGTGGCAAAACAGGTTGAATCACCAGACGGACGTACAAATTTGCAGTCAAGGTGTATGGAATAAGCGTGAGAGTGCTCCTGCTGTCGTAGCAAATTGCTCCCCAGAACATAATTCCAGATATAGGCCCAAAGTGTCTAGAAACTCACCTGGCCTCCTTCTAATCTATATACAGCTATCACTAGCACCAAGGCAGAACCGACTTTTATCAGAAAACACAATAGATCTCTACTCTGTCCTCCAATGAGTTCTAACTATTGGCAAAGAACTGGGAAATATCCTCTAGCATGGTCCGAAGACATACCATCCTAGTTTCGATCCTCTGTGGAAGGGAATGATCCTTTGCTTTTTCACCCTACCATCCCGAGCACGAAGTCAAGTGCTTTACAGTAAAACGGCTTAGCGAGGACCAATATCGACCACCCTCAATATGTTTGGAGGCTGATCTAAGTGATCACCCATCTGATATATAAATGATCCAATATAGAGAACAAACATTTTTGAAATATATCGAAGTATTAATAAATCTCGTGACGGCCAAAATTTAACCATTTCTAAGTTGGACTTTATTTATGTCAATGTTTCTTTATTGATGTAAAATGTACTCATTGATATAAAATGTATTCATTGATTTTAAGTACCAGGTACTTTAACACACAGTCAAGTACCAGGTACTTTAACACATATTTTTTGTAATGTTAAGTATAATACAAATAACTATGTCAATTTGTTTATTTAATAGTTCCATTATTTTTAAAACATATTCTAGTTTATTCTAAAATTGTGTAAAGTCAAATGAATTTTTATTCCCTTGTTAAAGAAAAATCAATTAACAACATAAACTTTGCTTTCTAAAATTATTTTGAAAAATTTGCAAAAAAAAAACATTATCATTTTAAACACAGCTGCCAACACGGAAAGGAAAAAATCGAGTAGATTTTACGAAATAATATAAATTTCAAGATAAATGTTGCAAAATATACTAAATATTTTACATATAGGAAATTTTAAGAATTATCAAAATAGAAAAACTGCAATATTTTTCAGTTATGATTTTACATTAAATGATCTTGAAATGTCATGTATTATGTTTATTCATAATTTTGAATAGTAATAGGCATTCATTTCATCAAAGATTTTAGATAGGCATTCAACTGAATTTTATAAATGAGGCTTGCTTTATTGTGTAATAGTGACACTTATTTAAATATTTAAACAAGCAATAATCTTCATAAAAATTCTATTTCAATGGGGATTTTTTAAGGAAAATTTACTCAATTTTAGGGAATTTTTTAAAATGTACAATAACCAGAGGAATTTTTATTAAACCAGTAGACCAGAAGAAACTGGTAAAATTCAGTAGAGTTGGCAGCTATTAGACATAGCTGCCAACTTTACCGGATTTTACCAGTATATTTCAAATAAAAAAAGTTGAGTTCCAAAAAAATAATAGGCCCTGAGAATTTTTAACATCCCTGTTTTCAAATACAAAATACAGAACATCATAAACATGGATACAGGCTAATCTCTACTTATTTCACTCATTAATATAGTCTAATTAATTTCAATAATGTATATTCTAATAGATCAAGATGGCAAAAACTTATTGGGAAAGCCTGTCATAGGCTGTAGTGCCCAAGAAGAAGAAGAATATATATTTTGGCGAATGTAACTATTAGAATTTAGACCTAAGCCTATTCAGGTTTTCNATATTATGTTATTTACTTATTGGGATGGCCTGTCATAGGCTGTAGTGCCCAAGAAGAAGAAGAATATATATTTTGGCGAATGTAACTATTAGAATTTAGACCTAAGCCTATTCAGGTTTTCATTCATTTTGGTGTATAATAAAGTTTATAATCAGGGTAGGGGTTTTGGACAGGACATAAACTGCCTTAAACTGTCCAAAACTGCCTTAAACTGTCCAAAACGTTGAACATTGTTAAGAGATAAAAATCTTGTATATGTAACCATTGTACCCTTAAGGCAGAATTTTTTCGAGCTATCTGTGACAAAACTCTCTAAGAATAAATATCTTTCTGCAAAATACTTTTAATAATAAACATAAATGTAACTAATTTAAAATAACCAAAGCGCTGTGTTTACAAAAAACAACAACTATATAATCTTTTTTTAATTGAACATGTAATAATTTTTTATTCTAATATTATGGGTGATATTCTCGGTTTTTGTTGAGGGAGGGGGAACGCCCAAATTATTTTCTTCGCAATTTGTAAATAATCATCACAATAAAAAAGTAATTAAAAATCATGTAATCTGTGTAGTAGTAATTGCCGAAAAAAGATCGACGATGAAATCTCGCGAATCAAACTCCTCAAATGCGTGCTTCGTTTCGAGATTAGGTTGTAACATTATTGTATAAAAAATATCGAATTTAGAAACTATGGAGAAATCAATAGCAATAACTGCCAAAAATTCTATAAAATTATTGCCCTAAAAAGTACATACTCAAATGCACGATTCGAATTTTCCATATTGCTTAAAATATATCGGGATATTTAAAAACCACATGAAAATCAATATCAATAATTTTCGCAAATACAACCAAAACATTATATTGATGTGCCATACTATCCGCGAAAATTGAGAGCACCAAAATGTGATTATCTAAATGCATGATTAAAATACTATGTAAATTTCTGTAGAAAAGAGAAGTATATATATATTTTTTACTTTTCAAAAGAAAAATCTTTCTGCAAGAACTCTGTAACTTTCTGTGACAATGTCACCGTTCTGCTGCGATTCTGCCACGGGCCATTGTATACATAATATTTACATTTATTAATAAATGTGTGATACTTTTCATACAATTTAAATTATTAAAGGCAAATAATATGCAATAGGAAAAGATTAATAACATTTGAAACTGCACAATTCATTGAATAATAAAAGTGAATACATTACCCATTAAATATGCTTTTGATACAGATAAATTATGTTTTAGCATAAGGATAAATAAAGCAATATTAGAAATAATAATAAACTTTTTTAATAAAACAAACACTTGTCTTCATTTCGTTACTTGATCAAAAATTAACTTTTTACAGGGGTCTGTCCAGGCCAAATTTACCACCATTTAGCAGTACCTTAACAAATTTAACTTTAGGAAAAACAATAGTTTCGCAAATTACTCCTTGTTAAAATTTTATTTTTGAATCCCGTACGAAACGATAAATCCATATTTTTATGTTGATTTGTTAATACAATCTTTCCGAATTATGTTTAAATTTTCACAAAAAAGGTACCTCTCAGAAAAACCTAGAGAGACCTTAGTTTTATTTTTCATATCATTTTTTTCAAACTTGTGACATAATTTGAACAAAAGGGTTTTGAACAGTTTTGGTCTGGATGGTTTAAACTGTGGATTAATCCATTCTGTCCTAAACCTTGCCAAATCTGTTTATAATTGCTATTTACTATGCTTTCAATTGAGTTAATATAACACATTATTTTAAAATCATGGGAAGTTAAACTTTAAATTTGATAATCACTACAATAAAAAAAGTAAGAAAATAAACATAATAGGATAAATACCTGGATTTTAGAAGTATGAAAAAAAGTATTATGAAAGATTTTCTTAGCATTAGTTGCTTCCTTTTCAGTTTTACATCCAATGAAGGCAAACTGCGAAAAATTAATTGCTTGTTATACTTTAATTGTAAGTCTGTTATTTCACCTTCTGCCGAAAAAACCTCTTCTAATTTCTTGGCAGTAATCTAATTTTTTAAGAGAGAAATACATTTTTAAGTAACAAAATAAATTTATTATAAACTTTATGTATAACTTTTTCTAGGAAATGACCAAAAAAAAAAAACTTTATAATACTTTAGGGAATGAATCAATGAAGGAATGAATTTGATTATCAAATTCAGAATCAGTGAATAGAAAATCAATAAAAATTGTAAAAAACAAATGCAAAAATCATAAGAATAATCAGAAAATATATTACAACTTAAGTAAAACTTTAAAAAAAATAGCCTTAAAATTATTTTTATAAAACTAGTGACGCGTAATAACAAAAAAAATCATATCTAGTAAATTTTTTAAATAGATTAAAAGTTTTATAATTATTTTTTAAAGAGTTTGATCTATCAAAAACTAGATATTATAGCTTATAAAGGAATATTCTTAAATAATTAATAACATGTTTTATGTTGAAATAGAATTAAGTTTCCATACTATTTAGTAAAAAAATAAGATTATTTTAATTTAAATTCCTGTGCACTTCATATTTTAGATTTACATAGAAGAAATTTTAAACTTAATACAGTGCACCTTCACAGAGCTAAACCAATTGGAAAATAAAATAAATAAATATATTGTGAGGAAGAAGAAGAGAAAAATTCAATCGACATAAAGTAAATTGTTAACTTACATCTTTAGGTAAATTTTTTACAACTATTCGAGATATATCTAAAATGAAAGAAAAATATTAATATTGTAGAAAATGGAACAGTTAATATACTTTATAATAACATAAAACTTAAAAATATTGCCTTAAATTAATATATTCCATAAAATTTATTGATAATAATTCTTTAAGGCCTACCAAAATAAAAAATAAAAAACGTGATTAGAATGTTTACAAACATGAAGCACTTCAAACACGGTCGCGAGCAAGGCAAACATTGTACAAGTTTTTATTTGAGTTTTGCTTCACTAAAGATCCATCTTCAATAGGTGATCACAACGCTCGACTACGTCATCTGGGGAGAAGGCCGGTTCCATGCTTTTGTAGTACGCCCGAAAAGAAAAAAGAAGAAAAAGACTATTAATGTAAACTGCTTACAGTGAGTTGGAAAAAAAGATATATCACCCTAAATAACTTTTGTTTTAATGAATAGTAATGCTTTAAATAAGCCAAATTATTAGTATATCTATTTCTAAAATATGTCATTAGACACCAAAGTGTGTTTTCTCTTAGTAAAAATATGACAGATTTGGATTTTTAATTCTCAAAACACAAAGTAAAGGGTATTCTAAATTTGACACTGAAAAATAGTGGAAAGGATAAATTGTAAACACATAAAGCACAAATTATTTATTATATTATTTAATTGGCAAAATAAAATGAAATTTAGTAAATTAAAGAAAAAAACGTAGAAAAAATAATTATTAATAAGTAATAATTATTTTAAAAACGAGTGAAAAATATGTCAAAAAAATTTAAATATATAATCTTGTAAATCAAGAAATAAAATTTTATAGAAACTAAACAGTTTATAAAGATAAATTAATATTAATGGAAACTTATATTAATGGAGACTAATATTAATGGAAACTAATTTTAAATGTTTTAACAGTAAACTAAATTTAATACATAAATTAATGAAATAAAAAAAAGAGTTGCTAATACGTAGAATACAAAAACTTAAATATATTATTTAAATTCAAGTAAATTGAAATCTAAAAATTAAACAAGTAAATATACTAAATAACTAAAATGTAAAAGTAGATAAAGTAATACTATTATAAACTTATGTGAAGTGTACTAATACTTAAATTAAATTCATATATAAGTAATGTAAGAAAACACTTTTACATGCAAAAAAAAAACATTAACATATTATTCATAAATCAAAAAATGCTGTAATTGCATAACATTCAAAAATGAAGGTATACGAGTATTACCATTCATTAAACAATATAGATCAAATTCTACAATTTACAATGTATATATATATATATACAAAATAAAATTAATTAAACAGTAAAAAGGAGAAAAGTATTAATATAAATTTATGCTTAAATTTTATAACAAAAAAAAAATGCAATTTACAACTAAAAACATTGATTGATAATAACCTGTACTAAACTAAAAGTAATTAAATATAAAAAAAAACGTAGTTAACAAATTAAAGTCTAATATAAAAATATATATTATTTATACAGCTAAAGATAAAATCTGTAGACAGAATAATGTACGAAAAAATCAAAAAATCAATGTATGTTACAAAAGCAAAACACAGATTAAAGTGAAACTTTTGCATAAATAAAATGAAGAAAAAACTTGAAAAGGCATTAAACGAAAAGAGAATTTTGTAAATAACTCAAAAAAGTGTATTAAAATAACTCGACAGTAAATTAATTAACAGATATTACAGTTTTGAAATAATATTAAAATACAAAAAGATATTATCTAAAGGCATGAAATATAAAAACGAGAATAATAAAATATGGATTAAGTAATAGAAAATCAGAATTTCGTAAATCACATCAAAAATTTACTTGGAAGCTAAAATTAAATGAACACAAAAACTAATATTAAAGTTTTATATTTAACATGTACTAATACTAAACTGAAACTTATAGAAAAATTAATGTAAATAAAACTTTGAAAATCATTTAAAAAAAAACTAAGCAAAAAAAAGTAAATTAAGAAAACACTAGCACTATCGTAACCTAAAACTATTTTAAAAATTAAGGTAAGAAAAAACTTTTAAAAATCTTAAAATATAAAAAGGTGAAATAGTTAAAATGTNATAGAAAAATTAATGTAAATAAAACTTTAAAAATCATTAAAAAAAAAAACTAAGCAAAAAAAGTAAATTAAGAAAACACTAGCACTATCGAAACCTAAAACTATTTTAAAAATTAAGGTAAGAAAAAACTTTTAAAAATCTTAAAATATAAAAAGGTGAAATAGTTTAAATGTGGCAAAAGAAAGTGATATTCTGTAAATTAAAAAGAAGTCTTTCAGAAAGAACAAATGCCCCTTTTTGTAAAGAAAATTTCACAATACTGTTAAAAATAAGAACGTATGTAAGTTTTAAGAAGCTTTTGAGTGATCACAAAAAATAAGGGGCCTCCAATAAAAAAAAGGGAGAATTGAGACCAATATTAGAAATAGCATCAAAAGAGTATTCCAAATACAAAAAAAAGAGCTTTTACACACATTAAATTTAATTATAAAACAAATACAAAGCAAAAGACTTATTAAAAATTATTTATTTACCTCAACAGATCTTGTTAAACTTAGAGCTCTTCTCCAAGGATGCAGATTTTTCTGTAAAAAGTATTTTTATAAATGAAAATATTATATTTCTCTTACCTACAATATCATAATACATATCTTATTTGTATCATAATACAAAATGGGATAAATATATAAGGTAAGGTAAATATGTAAAATAAAATTAGTTGAAGATAGGTTTTTTTCTTCAGGGATGTGAAGAATATTCGGCCTTTTTGTGGAACATTCGGCTGGTCGAACATTTGGCCAAATATTCAGCCGAATAAAATTTGGCAAATTATTTATAAAAATTTGTAAAATTATTTTTTTAAAAATTTTTCCTGGGGGAAATTTTAAAAGATTTAATAAAAAAAGAATCAGAAATAATATTTTTTGCTATGCATAATTAGAAATAGTTTTTATACATATTTATTAAGTTCTAAAACTTGTTAATTTATGTTCTGAAAGACACATGAAACTTTAGTTTTTTCTTTTTAAATAGCTGTTAGTCAGTGTTTTCCATCTTTATTTCCAATTATTTTAAATATTCCTATCAAACGTTCTTTTTTACGCAATATCAAAAAAAGTCGCGTGCAAATTTCGTAAAAAAAAAGTAGTCGCTGAAAAAGTAGAAAAAAGCATTAACATATTATTCATATATCAAAAAATATTGTAAAATCATAACATGCAAAAATGAAGTTATATGAGTATTACATTCATTAAACAATATAGATATAAATTCTATATTCTATATAATTCTAGATATAAATTATATAGATATAAATTCTATAAATTGCAAACAAAAAATTATGCATAAAAAATTAAACAGTAAAAAGGAGAAAAGTATTAATATAAATTTATGCTAAAATTTCATAACAAAAAAAAACAGTTTACAAAAAAAAAATTTTTTGATAATAACTTATATTTAACTAAAAGTAATTTTAAAAAACATAGTTAGCATTCTAAACTCTAATATAAGAATATATATTATTTATAACACTAAAGATTAAAAAAACTCCGTAGACAGAATAATGTACCAAAAAAATAAAAATAAGCAAAAATCAATACCAATGTTACAAAAGCAAAACACACACTGAAGTGAAACTATTGCATTAACAATATTAAGAAAAAACTTGAAAAGGCATTAAGCACAAAAAGAATTCTGTAAATAACCCAAAAAAAAGTATTAAAATAACTCGACAATAAATTAATTAACAGCGATTACAGTTTTGAAATAATATTAAAATACGAAAAGATATTATCTAAAGGCATGAAATATAAAAAAAAATAAAATATGGATAAAGTAAAAGAAATTCAGAATTTCGTAAATTACATCAGAAAATAAAATTGGAAGCTAAAAATTGAATGAACACAAAAACTCTTGTACTAAAAGTGTACTAATGATAAACTGATACTTATCGAAAAATTAATTTAAATAAAACTTTAAAAATCATCAAAAATATTTAAAAACAAAAGAATTAAATTAAGAAAAAACTAGCTCTATCGTAACCTAAAACTAATTTAAAAATTAATTTAAGAAAAAACATTTAAAAATCTTAAAATATAAAAAGGAGGAATAGTTTAAATGTGGCAAAAGATAATGATATTCTGTAAATGAAAAATAAAATTTACCAAACAGAGAAAAATGAACAAATGTCCCTTTTTACAAGAAATTTTCACATTGCTGTTAAAAATAAGGACTCATGAAAGTTTAAAGAAGCATTGGAGTGATCACAGAAAATAAGGGGCTGCCGTTAAAAGTAGGGAGAGTTGAGACCAATATTAGAATAGCTTTAAAAGAGTAACAAAAAAAAAAAGAGCTTTAACACACATTAAATTTAATTATAAAGCAAATACAAATCAAATGACTTATTACAAATTATTTATTTACCTCAACAGATCTTGTTAAACTTAGAGCTCTTCTCCAAGGATGCAGATTTCTGTAAAAAGAATTTTTGTAAATGAAAAAATTATATTACTCTTACCTACAAAACAATATCATCATACAAAATGGGATAAATATATACGGTAAGGTAAATATGTAAAATAAATCAAATTTTTAAAAAAATTCTGCTAATATAGACCTCTCTGCAAGTTCCAGATTATTTCCTTTACATGGCAAAATTTTCTCTCGATAGAACGAAATAAAATAAACATCTCATTTAGATACACTATTAGATATCTCATTAGATATGATTAGATTTTGTTTAATTTTATGACCGTTGTTGAACAGCCGATCCAATTTTGGGTTTATGACTACTAATGTTCAACTCTGTAGCCTTGTTATTTTGAACCAATGCAGAAGACGAGGTATTTCCTGGATCCGTACCCTCAGAGGTTAGGACTTGTTATGGGAACATGGAGGATTTTGTGACTCGACAGATTTAACGTGCATCGGTCACCAATTAATTCACGTGGAGTCTTCGGCTGGCGGGGATCGAACCGACTCTCTCTTAGACGTGGGCTCAGTGCCCTACTAACCAGGCTATCCTAGTCCTGATATCATTAGATATCACTTGGCCTTAAATATAAATAATTACTAAATA